CTGGACTGACCTATCCCCTTCCTAACTCCCTACCTACACTCACCTTTACTGGCTCCATCCCCGCCTCTTCGACCTGTTTGTTTCCTCTCCACCTATCCTCTCCTCTATGCCTCTTCTATCCGCCTCCCACTCTCTCCCTATTTATTTCAGAACCCCCTTCCCCTCCCCCTTTTCTGATGAAGGGTCTAGGCCCGAAACGTCAGCCTCTCTGCTCCTATGATGCTGCTTGGCCTGCTGTGTTCATCCAGCCCTGCACCTTTCATGCAGGACATGCATTTTGTAGTACATATCAGCTTCACTGGCACAAACCATAGCATCAAAGCAATTCTGTTATGGACAAAGGGCACATTTTTAAAAGTTACTTTCATCACCAGCAGAGAATTTCTGCAGTGCATCAGTGTGGTGGCAATTAGGATTGTGCTATTGTAGCACCGCAAATGCCAACTTCATCCAAAGTTTCCTTAGGTAGAGAAATGTCTGACTAAAACATGTAACGCTCATTCCACCTTACCAGTAAGTAAGAAACCACCAACAGAAGTGACACAAAACTGGAGAGAGATTTCCAACTAGCTCATTGTTATTTCTTGCAATGAGGTAAAATTAGCCACTTGCAAGTTCCAGAGGTTTGTGACATTGTACTATTCAAATGCAATGCGCTATTAAAGTACTGCAACAATTCAACAGTAACTGTAATACAACGTAGCCTGCAGACACAAAACTAGTTGACAATGTTTAAAGGAAAAGCATACAGTACTAAATGAATCAATCATACTTCTTGCGATTCAATGGTATAATTTCTCAGTAAATTATTTGATGTGCTAGAACTAATACTCAGTTACTCAAAATTCTATATAGCTCATTACACAGAAATATAATCAGTTCTGACATTTTTAACTTGTAACTTGGCATTTCAATTTGTAATGTTAATACAATGTGTTACAGACTCCACTTTCTCTTGTACCTTGTTGGTGGTGAATATTAATATGAAAAGTGTCCTGCTTTGACACAAAGCATTCACTTGGGAATTCCTCAGATCACTTCCAGTGTTGCACTGGGTGGAACTGAGGTAGCAACAGCACACCCTTTGTATGTTCTTTCTAAATACACTTCTCTATTCATTAACTGTACAAAACATGTCATTTAGTAGAGGGAAAAGTAGCAACATGAGGACACATTAGCAATTCATCTATCTTGTGGTGATATATCAGCCTATTTTATGTTGCAGATTTAGTTTTAACAATAAAGCAGAGGTTTATAATGTACAAAAAGAATAAACCAAAGCATTTACAAACAACACTCATTTAAAGATTTTGAAATATGGTAAGAATACAATCCCACTTATCACAACAGCATTCCATATGAATACTCATATATAAGAGAGAATTTCCTTCTTTAGCTCATGTAGGTCTGACTTAGCTGTGGTTTCACTTCCCAGGCATGAAAATTTGATAATCTCTTCCATGATCCATCATATAATTGCGTTTAAACTTTCTCAGCTTTACATAACCCCTTCAGGGTTTTAAACAAGCACTTCTGGTCTGGAACATTTAAACTCCCTACATACATGTCATCTCTTTCTTAACAGTCCTAAACTAGCTCCCATTCTCAGACGAAACTGTTTCGCACATTTGAAACTGCTTCGCACATTTAAATTCAGCCAAGACTGCTGCAAAACTGCCCAAGTTGGTTGAAATAAAAAAGCTTTCTTCCAAGTTACAGATGTTCCCCTAAGTCAAAACATCTATTCCAGCATCTTCAATTTGAAGTCTAATACACTATATTGTTTACTTTGTTCATTCATAAATTCTCCCAATGTAAACAATACCCCATTACACTCCAGGAAGTCTCTCTCTAATACTGTATTCTAAAAGAAATCACCATGGCTGCAAAGACACTTACAAGTTAATCACTAAATCCACTTTGACACAGAAAACCTATATGTCACTAGTTCAATATTAAAAGATCCAAAATAATTGTATCAACATATATAGATAATATACCTTACAGCACACTCATTATCACAATTTATAGCATTTGTATCAAGTATTCATTTAGGGTCTTGGGCACCAACCACTCTAGCAAATACACCTCTCATCCTTTACAATATGCACTGCAACCTTTTACCAATACCCAGTTAGAAAGAGCGAAACTCAGCAATCATTAATGTAGAACTTTGGTCCCATAACTGACATCTGAAATAGGGAAAACAGACTGAAACAGCACTGAGATGGCTGACAGTTTCAAATCATTCTCAGTTTTATTGAAACAAAATACATTAAAGAACTCCATACAGTTTCACAGCAAATACAATATAACTCCCCACACTTCTTAGTAATGGAAACCAATGAAGATGTGACTTACTCGCTCTTTGAAGATGAGCTCACCTTCTCTAGCTAAGGTTTTGAAGCTAAGGTGGGCCAGATTTCATAACACATGTTGCCTCTTGTTATGCGAAACACAGCTCCCACTGTGCCTGGGAGAAAGCGAGAGCACGAGCGAGCAAAAACAAGAAATAAAAAGTGAGAGAGAAAGAGTGAGAGAGAGCGAGAACAAGAACAAGTGAAACCAGAAATCAAGCACAATAGAGTGACAAAGAGTGGGAGCAAGAATAAGCGAAAGTGAGAGCAAGTATGGAAACAATTGGGAAAGAGACACCTTTTCAAATCATTTTGAAGGGGGTTGTGGGGATCTCACCTCACCGAGTTGTCAAAATTGGTTACAATCACACTGTGAAACTTACCCCCTGATGTAGCAAGTACTTCCTGAGGTCTCCTTCATTCAAACCCCCTGCTGTATGAATGGAAAGGTACAACAATTGGATTCTCAGGTGCTGGCTGCAATGAGTGATGCCCACAATGGAAACGATACATAATGTTGCTACTACTGTATAGATACTCAACACCTCGAAATATGAATATCAGCCAAAAACAAATTTCTGGCTACTGGCTTATTCAGAAAAAGGTAGATAGGTTGCAAATTTACGAGAATGAACTTGGTCTGCATTCCAGAAAGGGCAGGTATTAAATCAACAGCAGATTTCTTACACTGTCCAATCTTCTTTCCACTTAAGATCACAGAACTGCAGCTCTCTTTATTTGCGACTCACTTTTCTTGTCTCATTCTCAATCCTACATTACTTGAAATTAAAAATCATAGGGAAAATAAAAACAGACATAGTGAAAAACCCAGCTGACGTTTAGATCTCTGTGCATTTGAACACACAGCCATTTTAGCAAATCTAATCTGCCAAATCTTCCAAAATCCTTTCAGCACTTGAGTCTTAGTCTCATGTTAGCCAGATGCAACTTTGAAATCACTTGCTTTGACTTGAAAATTTTAAATATACAAAAGGCATAAACCAAGAACACTTTAGTATTTTGCTACCAGGTAGTTCAAATGTTTGAATGGCAAAAAAAAACTTGTCACCAGTTTAAAATCTTGGCTGGGGAATTCTACTTAATGTGCTTGGGCTGGCATTGGAATAAGAGAGACACAATAATTTTAAATAGGAGCAACAATTGCAATTCATTTTATACTGAGCTTTTAAATTTTAAAGATGGTCACTTAGCATCTTGGAGAGTGACAAATCTGTAAATGTTGTATTTCACGAGTGCATAAAGATTTGGAAATTCAGGTGCATGGCCCAATGGGGCAGGATTAGATGAATATCCTAAACAGGAATGGTGAAGTCTGATGCTTTCCAGATATTGGGATTTGGTGCTCATTTAATAGAGTTAGCATAATAGCCTTCCAGCAAAGACCAAAGGAGATTGCGCGAGAATAAAAAAGGGAGATCAAAGTAGCGGGCCTGATTTGATTGATTTGGCGAGAGGAGGGCAGGAAGCATTGGTTATTAATTTCTTCAATGCAGGGTCAAGTAGATCACTCCTGATCCTCCTAGTTCCAAACTCAGATAAGCTACTTGCTTTATTAATTGCAGGTGATACATAGGTTTCCCTTAGTGCAGTCTGACAGCCTGTACCAAAGTTGGAGAGCAGACTTGAATCAAAAGTTATTGCTTATTCAAAGATCCTAACAATTGGTTCAGGTTTGGGTGAATGATGTCCCTCGTTTATCCTCAACCAACATGACGGGGAACACATTTCTGGCTACATGTATACAATTCGTGCTCTCCATTTTGGCATCTTTAGTTTCTGCACTGCACCCAAAATGTGAGCGCTGGGTGAATGAACTTACAGGCCTAAATATTTCAGTGACGTTAGCCAGGTAAAGGCCGGCACCACATTTCAACTTGGCTCTGTTGTCCTATTTCCTTCTGTCTAAAATCATGACAAGTGTTTTTTAAAAATAGCTATCTTAATCCAGTATCTACTGAATACAACTTGTGTACGTAGTAATACATTTGCGTATCAGAGCATCATGTTGTCATACTATTATTGTAAAGGAAGCTGAAAATAACATGGAAATCTTCCGACTTACTCTTGTGAAAAATAATTGTGGAGTATCTATAACAACACTCAAATTTTCGCTGTTTAGTCAACACAAGCTTCCATTTGCACTGTATATGTTTCATGCAGTACTTGGCTTCAGCAGGCCAACTGTTTTCCTCTGAATCAGTAGAACAGTAGAGATCTCACATTTTGCTGCAGCATATCAATGAGGCACGGATATGTATTCCAGCTCTGCATGGATGAACACACTGTTCAATAGTGCTGGCTCACACAGTATCAGGGTGAGTTATCACTTCCCATGAAGGCACTCTTATCACCAGTGCCCAGAGAGGTGGCTGCGACTCACAGCCTTTCATTTTCAAGGCAGTTTGCTGAACATTCAGGCTTCAAAGATTCACATTTTCAAACTCTATAAGAGTTTGTGAACACTCAATTTGCCAAAACTGTTTACAGTGTAATTGGGCACCGTACCTGTGTCCATGAGATAGCGAAGACGCTTCTCCACCACTGCGGCCCGTGTGTCAATTTGCTTCTGCTCATTCTCCAATGCTGCCAATTCTCCAACAACATACTGACTCGTGTCTTTGAACCCTTTCTGTTGACAAGAAAAAAAAAATCGCTACATTAAACAAAATATATAATACAATTATAAAAAGGTATGCTTTTCTTAATCTAGTGTATGCCGCAAAAAATATTTTGGTGCTTACACATTTTGCCCAAAGTGTAGCTAACCATCAGAAGTCCCAAAAAAAAGTTAAATGCGAGTATTAATTTTTCTTCCGATGTGAAATCTCATTTTTAAAAATGCTTTACCATGTAGTAAATACCTGTCAATATAGCCAATGGGATGTGTTTTCTATTTTATGCACTATAATGATCGATGTAAAATTTTTGGGAAAAATGACCTTAGTTAAGTTAATACATTATACATCCTTTTTCCAGAATTATTTTGGCAACAATCTATCAATGAGTTCCTTCCTTCCATTCTATCAAATTTTTCCCACATATCAATTTTACAGATGATCAGCCCATTTTCCCACTATGCTGAACCTCCCCATTAATTAAGTGAAAAAATTATCATATATATTATATTAATGCAAACATTATTCAGCTGGTAATTCATGGCTGATCTGTATAATGGAAAGGTTGAACGCCCATTAACCCATGCCAACAAAATGGGTTGTCTGGGAAATTCTAGCAGGTCTCCTGTGACTTTCCCTTCCAACTGAAGCTTGCAGTATCCACTTTTGTAATAATTAAAATCCTCCTAGTAGATCAATACTGGAATCTCTTTATGGGAAGTGCCCTGATGGAAATGTCTCAAGGATGCTGAGGCTGTGCAAGTCTGAAAAATTCATCTTTTATCTGACAATTATCACTACACTGCAGACTAATTCAGTGGTGCACCCCTTTCACTTTGCATTGAAAATGTGAGAGATTGACATCTGAAAACCCAACATCTCATTTTTTACCAATGAAGACAGCATTTCTTTATATGATCCAAGAAATAATCAGCAATCAGTAAAGCACAGAAAAATTAAACGTACACTAAGTACTTCATCTTCTGATGGCTTTCTTGGAGTTGTATCACATGTTTCCGGTCTTTCCTCATTTCTTTTCTTTGCATCTTCTTGTATTGATCTCTGCCTTTTAACCTCTTTTTATATAAAAAAAATGGGTAAGATATTCAGAAATTGGTTAAAATGATTAACTTCACCTTGAGCATAGGAGGTTATTCTTACAGAGGAGGTTAATTTCAATCTTATTAAAAAGCATCTCTGGCAGTGAGAGAAAATTAAATGCTATATAATATTTTAACATTCATATCTTAAGAATTCCTCACCTGGTCTGCTTTCCACATACTGACTAAATGACTGAAGATGGGTTCGTCTCACAGCTGAATCTTTATTGAATACCACAGGACTTCGCAAACGTTCGGTGGCTTTACGCAAACGCTCAGCACGATGATCCTCCATTTCATTCTGTCAGGGATTAACAATTGTTTTCATGTCATTATCCAACATTTATCTAAATTTATGTTCAATAAAATAGTTTAATTCCTACATATTTGCAAAGATGAAGTATAACAAAAGATAAAATCTTTGCTCACACAAAGAATCTTTAAGTCATGATTTAGATCAGCCCTATATATCAAATACTAATATCTAAAGTAATTGCTTTGTTCTGTTACTCTAGCTTGTTATCATATTGAATAGGAAATTACCAATTTACCTGCCAGTTTCTCACACTTCTCTGACAAGAACTAATTTCTAATGTTGTGGTAATTGTAATAATTCACTATGACAGGCTAAAGGTTAAAGAGAACTAGTGTGGAACAAAGAAAGAAAAATTGCTGACTTACATTTTATTAGCTAAATCTTTGTGCAATTTATTAATACATTAACAACCTAATTTTCAGCTACCTTCTTCCAGATCTCCAATAATTATGCATCTGACATTCCCCAAGGACCCAAGAACTATGGCGTGTGGGAAAAGCAGATACCAGGGTATGTTGTACCCAAAAATATTGCATTCTGCTGCTAATCTTGTATTATTTCTAAGTGTTTTGAAGGTAAATAAAAAAAGGCTGAGATGCATGACTAATAGCTTAGCCTACTGAATGTTGAAACTGGTTATCAAATGCTACCAAGGCTGTGCCCTTCCTCTGCATTAAGACAATCAGTAATGAGGGGGTCCTCTAATGGCCTATTCTCTTGCCTTAAGGAGGTATGGGATGCAGAATTCTCAAGAGAAGGTAACAGTTTACCCTCTCCTACAATCACAGAATGCCTCATTTACAAATATTTAAACTGCATTTACAAACATATTCAATCTGCAGTCAACTGTCCCTTGTGAGAAAAGCTGCTTCGGGACTATATTTCAGATTTCTAAAAAAACTGCTGACTGAAGCTCATAAAACAATTCTAATAAAAAATTGATTAAGTCTGGTTGATATTAGAGAGATGATGAATTCTATTAGAAGATGAATAATGTAACAAAAAGATTACACATACCTTATTCCCTCTTACACAAATGTAAACACATTAATGCAGACTAATTTTTTGTAACTTTGCAGCAGCAGAAGTGTTACAAATCAACAGCTATAACCATTGAATGGAATCTGGTTAAGTAACACCATCACAAATAGATCTAGAAGTATAATCCAAAAGGAAAAAGTCTAATTACTGGCAATCTGGTTTCTTCAATATACCTCCTGCAAACTCAAATAGCAATAATATACAAATACAAAGAGGCTTTTCAAACTCACTTGCAGTACAATAAATGTCGTAATATTTATTTTCTCCATAACATGTCACTAAGGCCTGGCATTTGCCAACAAATACAGATCAGTCTAAGCCTAGTAAGGTGTAAAAATATCAGTATGATTAGTTTGCAAATCCCATTTTGGGAAACCTTTTTATGCCAAGGGACTTCTGCCACTTTACAAATTTATTCCTTTAAGCTGGGTTAATTCAGTTAGCTTGCCAATCCATTGTGTTTTTCTCAAGCCAGCTTCATATTGCATTAAATCCATTGAAGAAAGCTAAATTGAATGAAAAATCAGACTGATCTGAGCTCCTCTTTGTTTAAAGCAAATACAAGTCTTCTGCTGCTACCTCGCTTTCATCACTGACGTATAGGAACCGATAGTGTAAAGGAAAGCAATGAAAGTCATTGTTTTTCAACTTCAAAGAGCCTCCTGTGGAACGAAATCCTCTCAGTCAGCATAAGCGGTCTCTAAAGATATTCCAGGTGGGTGTAAAGTTAGACCACCAAATTTATCCTAAAGCCAAAACTATAAATAAACAATGAAAATTTTAAAATTTGACTGCTGGAGTGACGTGGATATTTTATGCCATGCAGTTCTAATGTTAAGCAAAATGCTAAAATAATTTTGCACAAATGATTAAAATGGCATAGGTTCCACACAAACTTTACAGCTGCACACAATTTTCATGTTAACTGAGTTACCAACATTTTTAAAAACCATTTCAAACAATACAATTCCTGTTCTCTTATCATTTATATTTGTAAACACCTAGATTGCTTCAATCATGAATGGGTGGAAGCAGGGTTCGAACTTCTTCTTATTGCTGTTCTGGTGATATCATATTGTTGACAATTTTGTTTGTGAATAATACTAAACCATTTGACACACTATTAGCTGTTGTTACACTGATCAATTGCAAAACTAATTTCAGAATGAACAAGTCTGTCGATATGCAAAACAGCCGTAAAACAAATAAAAAAACTAATATATCCAGAGTTGTGGCAATTCAAAGTCTGTTGATTGAATTGCTACCTCACAGCCAGCCAGCTATCCCTCATTTAGCACTCCTCATGTCTTCCAAAAACCATCTGTTAAATAAAAACATGGGTATATTAACTGAAAACTACACTTTACGTTGAATTAAAAACAGAAATTGCTGGAAAATCTCAACAGGTCTCTGGCAGCATCTGTGGAGAGAAATCAAGTTAATGTTTCGGGTCCAGTTATCCTCCTTCATGTTGAATGGTAAGTATTTTTTCATTTTAAATTGAAACTAATTATACTTACACATGCCCAGCATGATGGACATGTACGAAAGCAAAGTACTGCAGAAATCTGAAATATAGACAGAATGCAGAAAAACTCAACAAGTCTAGCAGCATCTGTGGAGAGAGAGATAGATTTAATGTTTTGGGTCCATAGTCTGTATGAGTTCTGACAAATGGTCACTGACCAGACCTCTGTCTCTCTCTGCCATTAGACTTGCTTAGAATCTCCAACACTTCTTGTTTCTATTGGGGCAAAAAGAAATCCTCTAACTAGTTTTCCAAAAAGCTTTTGAGCCTCTCATTCCCCTTCAGCAAGAAACCCAGGACCAGGTAGCTGAAATCTAACTGGCAGCATTAAACATGTCCTGAAACAAATTTTAAGGTAAGCAAAAACAAAACTTGAACAAAAATACACTGACATCAATATGATAAATTGATATTTTTATGAAATAGGCAATTAACAAATTGACTGTTTTTTGGCTCTTTGCTTGAAAAGCAGTGCCAGAGATATACAGGTTTAGCTGCAAATTCTCCCTGGTCCAGGGAGAAATCAGTCAAGGGAAGGGATTAATGCAGTTAATTTGAAGGAGTTGGCTGCAACTTGCATTTGCCTCCGGTGATGGAGAGGGGGTCAGGGAGGGAGGAAAGGTGGAAGCGGGGTAGGGAGGAAAGGTGGAAGCAGTGTTGGGGGGGATGGTGGTGGTGGTAGAGAAAACTCATCAGCTGGCCCATGAGAGGAGAGGAAGGGAGGAAGTTAGTAGAAGGTTAGTTAGGAGGAAGTTGAAGGGTGGGATGGAGAATAATCCATCAGCCACTATCGAAGTAGATGGAAGGATGTCGGGTTGGATCACCTGGGGCCAGGGTAAAGCCACTCACACCATTGAAGGAGAGGTGAAGCTAGAAGTGAGACATAACCAGATACGTTAGCTTCCTTCACCTTGCATTTCAGAAGCATCCAGCCACTCTGAACACAACAGTTTCTGAGTCTGAGTCTGACTTGGTGAGAAAGAAAGGAGGGAAATGGTAATCTGGCACCTCCTCCTTGGCCAATGAAGGCCACTTTACAACCTTCCAAACTCAGCAGTGAGTTCACCAATTTCAGATTGTATTCTGTTCCCTCATTTTGACTCCTTTCTCTTTGCAAACTTCAGTTCCAGTCTCATTCTAAGACGGAGCTTGCTTTTGGCTGGCGGCTGTTCTTGTTCTGCCATTCACACAATATATTTTTTATTGTTTCTGTACTTGTCTCATTCTTACACTCTTTGGTCATGAATCACCACCTCTTCTGACATTTATTCTCTACTGTCTTGCATTCAATCACAGACATTCTGCTTCCATCTTCATCCACCAGAATTAATACTTAGTTCTAAGGAAAGTTCATCAACTTGAAATTTGAATATCACTTCACCATCCATGTATATGACCTGACCGGCTGAATATTTCCATCGTTTTCTGTTCTTATTTCAGATTTCCAGCATCTGCAGTATTTTCCTTTTGTGGTGTTAATTTTAGCCACGGCTTGGTTGGTTGCACTCTTGCCTCTGAGTCATAAGGTACCAGGTTCAATTCCAAGTCCAGAGCTTAAGAATAAAAATCAAAGCTGAACTGGGCTGTATTGTTGAACGACCGTTTATGCCTTCTCAGGTGGACGTAAGAATTCCACAGCACTAGTTCAAAAAAGAACAGGCTGATATACCTGGTATCATGACCAAGATTTACTCTTCAGTTAATATCACCGTAACAGATTCTCATAGATCATTATTACATCACTGCTTGTGGAAGCTGGCTCTGCACCAACTGACTGCTGTATTTTTTGCATTACAACAGTGACAGTACTTTGAAAAAGTTCTTCATCATCTGAGAAGCATGTCCAGTGCTCATGGCTGGTGCTACAATAATGTGTCTTGTGTTGTTGAGGAGAAATAGTTTCTACTCATGAAGGCATCAGAAGAGATCATAAATATAGTCTTTATTCAATCCAATAAAGAATTCAGGAAATTTTTCTTTTCCTATACAGTAGTGTGAATACAGAACTTTCTGTCACAAGTAATTGAGGTGAACAGCACAAACGCATACAAGGGGACTCAATGCAAGTGTATGAAAGAGAAAGGAACATGTCAAGTTGATAGGGTTAAATGAACTTAGATGGGATGATGATCATGTGGAGCATGCAGACTAGCATTAGCCTGATTGGGCCAAATGGTCATGGCTTTGTTGTACACTCTATATAATTTTCTCCAATACTGCAAGCATTGATGTGAGGCAGTTAGCTAAGTTGGCTAGGTGGCTAGTAATTGGAAGACAATAACAACTGTAACTCCTGTTACAGCTGACGTAGACTTGGGAACTGCCTTATCATCCAACCCTAGAGAGTGGCAGACAATGGCAAATGCCTCAGAATGAAGCATCAGCAGACAGACAATGAGCTAAAGACCTGCCTTTA